TTTGGGAAAACGATACTTGGTCTTACCTTGTTTTATTACTTGATACGATTCGGTCATACTTGTCGATTGTTCAACAAGTTTGTGGCGCCGTTTTTCGGTGTTCATAAATTTGTCATCATGAAACTAGATGAAATGCAATGAAAGAGTGAAAGATAAAACCTAGAAAGGTGAGAGAGGAGCTGTAGCATCCAAAATCCTCCTCCAAGGGGTGAAAAAGTGTGTTTCTGCTTCATTCCAGCCAAAGATACTAACCTTAGGAAGACTAAAGCCTTATATAGACTTCTAAATATTACAGAAAAGTAAGCCCAAACCCATAAGAATGTCGCTCAGCGGTAAGTGCGTGACTTATATTCTGCCCCTCAGATGCAGTTTTGCCCCTCAGCGGTGACTGCGGGTCTTCAAAGTGCCGCTCAGCGGTGAATGGCGCTGAGCGGTACTTGCGGCTTCTACCTTTCATGCACTTTTTTCTTCCTTTTTTGAATTCAACTCCTAGCTCATTCTCTTCTTTCACTTAATTAATCTTAAAACCTGTAAAAACAAAGAAATCAAGCATAAAACCTGTCTAACTCTCTTATTTCCAAAACTTCAACAAAAACATGATTGCAAGCTAGTTTTTAAGTCATAAAAGTTGTCTTTAAGGTCAAATTTAAGTATAAAAATAATAGTTTTTCAATTTTTATCACTAAAAGAGAATTAACATTTTTTTAATGAGGTCATTTATTTGAATAAATCAAATTTTAAATACATTTATCATAGAAAAACTTTAAGTAATAGATTTAGTTTTATAATTTAAAACCTTTCTTAAAAAAAACATACATGTTCCTTTCAAGTAAGAATACAAATTTTCAATTAAAATTAATCAAATTTTTACTTAATGTTTTTAAAACATAATTAAGCGAAAATAAAAAATATTGTTTTTATCATTAAAACAAAACTATGAAAATTTTAAAATTAATACATGCCTATAAAAAATATAGAAAAGTAATATAAAGATTACAATAATTTGGTTTAACTTTTTTATAAAAAATTCCTAATAAATATGTTTTCCATGGATTGAAGGGTGATACATGGTCATACTTTATACGATGGTACAGGTACTTCCCAACTTCATTCACACAAAAGTGGGATAAATGTGAAAAAGACAAGCTTTTAGGTTGATAATAAAAAAAGAGAAAGCTTTTTTTACCTACCAACGGGAAGAAAATTTCATACCATGTGTATTTGTAGGTTGACTATGAATTTAAGAGCTTTTAATATTATTTTTTCACGTCTAATTATATCCTTAAATTAGAGGACTCAAAATTTACCTATACATAAGTCATACAAAATTCTATTGAATGATCTAACTATATCAAGTAACATTTGATATACAAGAGAGAAAAAAATTAAATAAAAACTTCTTTCTCTTTTCAGATCTTTATTGTAAAAGTTATATAGGTTATAAATTTAAAACTTGGATGTAATAGACAAAATTTAAGATTCCAGAGTTATAAGTTTAAGCCTTGAATCTTATAAAACTTTTTTATTAAAGTATTTTGATACGATATAAACACTAGTGGAAAAATGACATTTTATAACGTACAAAAATGATATATTATAACGTAGTTACTGGGGATATAGTTCTGGGCGATATAATAAGTCTGCGCATTTTATAACGTAGCAGAAATTTACGTTATAATAACTTCAACATATTATAACGTAGTTTCTGAAGTCCGTTATAATATGCGCAGTTTATTATGACAAATTTTCATTTGTCCGTTATAATAAGACGAGAGATATTATAACGTAAATTTGTTTTTACGTTATAATATGTGATCTATTATTACGTATATATTTTTGTACGTTATAATATGTGATCAACATATCATAACGTACATCCTTTAGTACGTTATAATATGTGTTTTTTTAAAAAAATAATAATGAATACACAATAATATTCTTCTCATCCAATTTGATAAAAAATTTCAAAATAGTAAGATAGAACTGAAATCAACATAAACTATTCGGTCTCAAATAAATTATTCATTTGAGTAAAAAAATTAAGATATGATAGTTTATAAAAAGGTAAAAGATTAATAATCACATAATTTACAAGTGTAAGTGACATTGGTAATTTTCTTATTTGAAAATTCTCACTAAATTTTGAACAGCTACAAGGACAAAGTTGTTCTGTTATCATCTATCAATATGATATGATTGCTATATCACTAAAAAGAGATTTGATTCATAAACAGAAGCTTGTGGTTGTTACAGTAAAGGAGAACTCATAAGTATATAGTAATTCAATTGGATATGATAGGATTAAGAAGTTAGACACACAAAGATTACAATTAATCAATAATTAGAAAAAAAAGCAAAGAAAACTTATATCCTATTGGAAATAATCTATAGGATAACCAATAATTATTTTTAACTTATCACAGTTCATAGAGCCATCAAAAAAATATTTGGAATAAGAAGATCATAGAATTCCAATAAGTGCTGACACCTATAATATTTCATTTCTTAAATGAGAGAACAATATCTATATCTATAAATAACCAATAAACCTTTTTAACTGTACTATCTCACTCTTTCAGTAGAGAGATAAAACAAAATGTTTTTAATGTATTCTTGAACGTTTAATAACTACAGTGCAGCATAGCACTGATACAAAATACACAAAATAAATAAATAGAAAATAAAAACAAAATGACAAAGTTATATAAACTTCCTAATAATTTGTAAGAAAAGGAGAAAAAATAGGGAATATGGGGCCACTAACTTCAAATGTCCAAAAGCTTCATCTCACTTTTTGGATCTGTTTCATCAAAACACCAGAATTTATCAGCGGCAAAATATAAATATTCAAACTTAAAATAAGTACTTCTAATTTCTAAACAATAAACAACATTCATCCGATATGGCTAGCTCAAATATTCACGATAAGGATCATTCTAGCATGGTCAAGTGTAGAAATAAAAGCCAACCTTTCCTTGTTGGTCTTCTACCAGTCCTCCCCCTACGAGGATAAGGCAAGGTGTCAGACCCTCCAAGAATAGGACGCACATAATTTTCATCGTTATCTTGTAGACATCATAGTCATAGACCCTCTCCCACTCTCTACGTTATCCCGTTCCATCTCCTCCCAAATTAACTAACTCTTCTTCTCTATATTTCACCAGTGGAGTCGGTGTTTCGCTTGGCAGATATGTCTGAAATATATATAACGATGTTAGCTTCATCTTTTCATCAAAGTTATTGACGACTTAAAAAGTGTATAGAGTGGCTGGTAAGCAATACTCCCAACATTGCAAAACTCCCAGCAAAAGATAAATTGTCTCGACAACTAAAACAGAATATACAAGAGATGGAGCACATGCTTAGTGAATCTACCTCAGATGTTGATCTTCCACCAGTGTAAGCTGATATATTCATATTATTTATCCTTTGGCCAAAAGTTTACTTAGTTTGAGTTGCGTTCTGTTTGAACTGTTATTGGAATTTCATAGTTGCAATTAGGAAAAATCCCACCCTCAATCAAGTAGTCTAATAAACGCCCTTGGGAATTAGAATGTACAACCAAAATTAGGCTGACTCCTTTTCAATAGACTGAAGAACGATGTCTTGGCACAGTCAATGCAGAAACCAAGCCTAACAAGTAATCTTATCTAGACCCTTTATGCAAGTTATACTATCAAAGATAGCTTGTACATGTATATCTTAAAGTGTAATCCAACTGAAATCACATGGCATCAAAGAAAACAATATCCAAAATATATCATTTGAAAAGGATAATACCAACCTTGGTAAGGCCTTAATGCGTAATTCCTTCAAGTATGTAGCACCACGGCCAAAAGTAGGTGAAGCCTTTTCTAACTCAGATTTTAAACCCTACAAAAGTAAGCTAGGTTAGTAGAAGCTCACAAGTGTATTCATCATAGCAAACGATATTTAATAAGATTAAACAATATGATAGACCTAAATTAGTCAAACTATTGAATTTAATAAGAGGAACTTTGATTCCATGATTGTCGGCATGACTGCCAACTTGCTACAACTTTCTAGTTTTCAATATACTAGGCTCTAACAGTCTAGAAATATTATAAGTGCATTTGGATAAGCAGAATAAGTTCTTTTTCAAGATTAATATAACATAAGAGCCTATATAATAAGCGTACTAAAATAAGAAGAGATTATGTTTATATTCACCTTGAAACTAATTGAAATAAGCTAAAGGGACTCATAAGAAATTCATAAGTCACTTTAAAATTAGCTCAGTATAAGCTCTTCTAAACACCCAATATTCAAATGAGAAGAAACTAAGGGAGCTAAACACCATCCACTCTGTCAGAGCTTAAACTGCCGAAAATACTGGTATTCCTTTAGCAGTCATTGTCAATTTCGAGATTTTCCTATCCCTGTTGTTGTAATATTAAACTTAAATACTTTCAATAGTACATATAACTTCACAAAACTTCCAACCAATAAGAGTAAATTTCAATGTGCATATTAGAAAAGCTACCCTTCAAAGTAGACTATAAGCTTAAGCGATTAAAGGAACTCGTGGTCAATAAATTTTTGAGAGTGGCAAGTGACAAGCTATATAGATAGCACAACTTGCACAATCTAAAGTTAAATATTCAAATGGTTAAGAGAGAGAAAAAAATCAGCACATCCTGTTTCCTTACTGATTCACCACTCAGATTCATGTAAGTATGAGGATTTGCAAAGAAGACATGAACTTCACCAACAAAACCTGCAACAAACCAACTTGCGCAAAAATTCATGAATACAATAATCATAGAGAGAGAAACAGAAAATAGAAATATCTAAGCAAGGGAACGAGCAAACCTTTTCCGAAAATGGCTTTGGAATGGGCAGTGTTCATAGGAATCCCCTACGACACAGCAATTGCATCAATCATCTCAAAGCCTACCTAGACAAACACTGAGGGAACCGATTTCAATGAAAAATGTAGGAAAAGTCAAAACAATCGGTAAAAAGGTGAGAAGATGAAGATTCGAAGAAACCCTAGCAGTTGAGGGTGAAAGATGTAGGTGAAAAGCTGAGAGGTAAAGGAGAGTGCTTACTGCTTGAACTGTGGTTCAACGAGATGATGGAGAGGCAGCAAGAGCCTTCGATGATGGAGAGGCAACAAGAGCCTTTGATAATGGAGACGAGAGAAACGCTCTCGCAAGGCAGCGAATGAACGACTGATGGACGATAATGGAGACGAGAGAAACGCTCTCGCAAGGCAGCGAATGAACGACTGATGGAGAGTGAATGGTTGAGTGAACAACAGATGATGGAGAGTGAAGAAGAGAGGAAGAGTGGTTCAATGGTAGTGGTGTATTACGGGAAACGAAAGTGAGGAAGAAAGGGAAGAGAAATTAGGGGGTAAAAAGTATTGGGATATTACGACTGGTTTCTAAAAATAAGTTATAATACATTAAAAAAATTTTAAAGTGTCCTTAACTTCGTAATAATAAGTTTTGATCTTATTTACAAATTTGCCACCGCGTTTTATATTATAACTGATTTTCATAATTACGTTATAATATGTTTTAAACTTATTTACAAGTTTGTCACCGCATTTCATATTATAACTGATTTATAAAACTATGTTATAATATGTTTAATTTTTATTACAAGTTTGCCACCGGTCAACCTATTATGATGGATTATTTTTACCAGTTATAATAGGTTAGTCATAATAGACTATTTTTCCACTAGTGAAAATTTAAGATTTTGGATCTAAAAAAAATCCTAGGTGATAGAAATAAAAGAATATTTGTCTGTCTTATAATCATATCTTCCTGTCCACATTAACTAAATTTTAGTATTATAAAAACCTAGTATTATAAAAAATATATAGTATTATAATAAAAATTATAAAAAATATATTAAGACCTCAAAAGTAATCTCTAATAGAAATGACCTTAAAGACTTGTTTAGCATGAGAGAATTAAATAAATCAAAATTTAGTGTGAATATGATTCTAAGAATAACTAACGTGTGTATGATTGCTAGAAAGTATAAGTAGGAAAATTATTTATTTTCTTGTAATTAAAGTGCAATATGTTATTTTTATTTAATTTATTAAGTTTTTACTACACTAAAAAATTTTGGTAAGAAAAAGAAATAAACAATAATGTAAAATAATGTCAATATCACTAAGTTCAAAAAAATGACTTATTTGTCCATTGAAGAAAAACAATATAGTTTGCATATTGTTTCGGTTGAATTGGTCTAAGGGCGTATGAGGGTTGGTCGTTCTTCCTTACTCTGCTCTCTTTTGATCGTCCAATCATTTCCGAGAACACAATCCACTATGATAGGTTATTGACCTGCAGAAGACAATATTCAAGTCAAATATGTTTCATAAAAAAGTTTATATTAATAACTTTACTTATTAATTTAGCTTCTTAATTTAGCAAGACAATTTGCAACAATATTAACATATTTTTGAATAGACTTGATGATGACTACTTAATTACGAACTTATATATTATAAGTATCTTGAATTAATTTTTTATGTGTCGACCAAATAAACTTGTAGAATATAATACGAGAGTAATCTACCCCATAATAAACCTAATAGTATATCATAAACCTAGCACTAATTAATAATACTTGTTCTCTTGGCTTTTAGCTTTGTAAGCAATGCACTCTCATAGTTAGAAAATTATTAGAAGGAAAATATCTATATATGGTTTATGTAAAACAAAGAGTGACTAAAAACACAACTAAGAACAGATCAATTGATTTAAAAATAACCTTTAAAATTATTACTGAAAATTTAACTTAAAATTGTTGATGATAAAGAAATTAAGTGCTAGAGTTAGTGAATACTAATAACAACAAAGAATTCAAGATAAAGAGAGAAAGATGAAACGTAAAGATACCTTAACTTTTATACTAGTTTAATTATTCTCAAATTTACATCTAATTAATTCAGACAATCGGAGTTGGTTTTATACTAAATATTTTAAATTATCAAATTATCAGAAACACATATATAATTGAAACAATATACAAACCATTTCCTAAAATACCTTTCAAAGAGAATTTATAAAGGTAACCAAAACACTCAATTACCTACAACACACCGTACACTGATGCAAAATTACAAATACAAATTATAGAAAAAAAAATATATCAACTGAAATGAGAAAAATATACTATGAAAAACCTATAGCAAAATTATCAACACTTATTTTTCAATCAAGATATAAGTATATAACAATATCAAAATATATTTTTTTAAGAAATAACAAAGCTCTCTTTTTCAAAACATATGGAATGATTACAATGGAGGACAGAGCTTCCCTTTTAAAAGAGTTTTAGAATTATTAACTAATATAATGAATTACAATAAAAAATAATTAATTATTATGTTCTTCATATATCCTAAAAAAACATTTTAAATGAGGATAACTGATTATTTACTATCCATATTCCGGTATTTGTAAGAACCGGCATTTCTAGATTTAGTTAACATAATCAAATTAGTGATGATTACTAATCGATTATTTGTAAAAACAAGTATTTATATTTAACTTATATAATTGATTATCCATGAAAAAAAATAGTCTATATTGATAAATATCACAAACTCCTACTAGCTTCCAAAGTTAAGACATTAATCTTGGATTATCATTACATCTTCCTTTTCTTAAACATCGCGACAATAACCTCGTCTTCCTTTAGAAGTCATATTTAAGGTCTCTTCTTCTCCATTGTGTCTCTGAAACTTTTCTTCATATGGACTATTAAGAATATTTATAACTTATTAGCCAAAGCATCAATGCCCCCTTCACTCCTCAATACAACATATACTATAATCCAATTGCTTTGTTAAAGGGTGTAGACTTTTTTTTTACCACTTTCCCATTTGGCATATTTTCTTTATATATATATATATATATATATATATATATATATAT